CCTTCTGCTTGAGTAGGGGATTGTACTAGAAGACCTTCAAGGTCCCTTCCAACTCTTGTTATTCTATGACTTTTACATTTTAAAATACTATCAGCATTCATGCAAAGGAAAGTGCACAGCAATTTATTTTAGAAATGTCTTTCATCAGTGAAGAAGTACATGGTTTGTTGTTAAATAGACTTTAAATAGTATTCTTCTACAACACTGAGATTTCTATTTAGGTACTGTCAATTTCCTGCATGGCATTAATGTGTGAGTCCCATGGGAAATCTGATCACTTCTGCTGAATCAACAGTCTACTGAAGAGAGTCAACTATTTGTTCAAGAGCTCACTCTAGCACAAAATAGTCCAGATTATTTGCTATACAAATATTCCAGTACAAAGCTATTTGGCTGTAACATAAAAAAGCTGCATCAAAAGTGGCATTCCTTCAAACTGATGCCGTTCAGGTAATTCAGAGATGTACCCTGAGAACTTCCAGCCATTTTAAATTCTGAGAATTGTAATATCAACATATTTGGGGAACAAGCACCAACTTGGCCTTAAATGATCTTCCTAACTTATGGAGATTTAAAAGGCAAAGTGTTACAATCATGGATGACTTCAAGTTTCTCAGACTAATTCAAAATTTTGACCTGATGGGTAATATTTAGAATTTTGAACATGTCAGAAAATAGATGTCATAGTGGGCATCTTCTGTCATTAAAAAAAAAATAGCAGAAAGCTAACCCACCAGATTCTTACCAATCCTTGGCCGGCAAATTCTGGGACCTGAAGAAATGTTTGTGTTTCAAGAAAGCCAAGGGTGGCTAAGAAATTGACCAGATCATAGATCTACTTCTGCGAACAGTCTTAAGGACAGACCAATTTCTACACAAGAGCAATAGCATTTAGACTTATATACCACCCCACAGTGCCTTTATAGCACTCTCTGGGCAGTTTACAATGTTAGTCCCCCCCCCAATAATCTAGATTCTCATTTTACTGACCTCAGAAGAATGGAAGGCTGAGTCAACCTTGAGCTGGTTAGGATCAAACTCCTGACTATGGGCAGAGTTTGCCTGCAATACTGCACTTAACCACTATGCCATAATAAATTCTGACTTCTTTTGCCAGATGTAATGGCGAAATAGTGATACATGATACGCATAATATGTTGCTATTTGGTAAATGATTGGTATGGAAATAAAAGCCATCCTTTAGGATTTTAGCCAAATTAAGTAGACATAACTCCCCAATTGGCTATGAGGCAAATTATACACATAACAAAATAAGAAAAAAAGGACTTTATTTTTTTAAAAAATTCTATTGGTGACCTAAGATGTAAAAAACTGATCCCCAAGAAACAAGGATGCTTAAGGGTGTACAGAATGAAATGTGGTCATATTGGAAAGTAAAAGAGAACTGTTTATGGTTTGGATATGAAACATACAGTATGTAATTTCCTGTCACACTGCATATACACCAACAATAAAACAGTCTGATAATGATAGTTCTCATCTGCTCCAAAATTCTTATATTGGGACTAGATTTCCCATACATCTCTCTCTCTCTCTCTCTCTCTCTCTCTCTCTCTCTCATAAATGTAGGCATTACAGGTAGTTCTCAACTTATAACAGTTCATTTAGTGACCATTCAAAGTTACAAGAGCACTGAAAAAAGTGATTTATGACCGTTTTTCACGCTTACAACCGTTGCAGCATCCCCACGGTCACATGAACAAAATTCAAGTGCTTGGCAACTGACTCATACTGGTGATAGTGGCAGTGTCTCAGGGTCATGTGATCACCTTTTGCAATCTTCTTACAAGCAAAGTCAATGGGGAAGCCACATTCACTTAACCGTATTACTAACTTAATAATTGCAGTGATTCATTTAACAACTGTGGCAAGAAAAGTCGTAAAATGGGGCAAAATTCACAAGTAGCAACAGAAATTTTGGGCTCAATTGTGGTCGTAAGTTGAGGACTATCTGTACTAGGAAATACTCTATTCACTTATGGTACAATATATTTTTTTGTTGCCTCTTAATAAAAGGCTGTTTCTAGGGGTTTTGTTTTCTTTTTATTGCAAACACTCCCAAACTCACAGTATTTTCATTTTCTTTACAGAAGAGGATGGAAAATGAATACATAGCTCCCTCTGAAGAGAAGTCAAATGTAAACATACTGTTGATTACATTGTCTTAAATCCATACAAAGAGAGTGACAACTTTTTTGCTATTTGCAGCAGGAGATCATGCAACTCTAAACATAACTGCAGGTACTCTAAAAGGCTCCTGAATGATATGTACTATAAAAAGGTTAAAAAGCCAGAGGGCACAACATGTATGCTTGCTACGTGTCTTAAAGAAGGCTAGACGCCACATTTAAAGCGAACAAAACTCCCTGAAAATTCAGTCAAATGATAAGCTCGGTGAGTGCAAAATATTACAGGAAATGCTGTGAGTGTCAAACTGATTAAGGTTCCTGGGGCAAGTGGTGTCTTAGCCATGGAGATCTTGAATGACAGAAAGGTCTTGAATCTCCAGAACAAGGTTAGAGCTGAGGTTGAAGAGATGAAGCTATTCCACCCTCAAACTTATGATCGAGTCAATTCTTCTGTCATGATCCCCACAATCAAAAAGGAAGAAGCATAATTAATAAGACTGAAGGTGATTCTTCTTTTGTCATGATAAAAAAAGGATTCCCCCCCAAAAAAAGGCCTGATTTCTACTGCTTTTAATGAATGCAGTAGGTTCTAATTCTTTACAAGCGCACCCAGAATGACAGTCATGATTCTTATAAGCCACCAGGTGTTTTCTCAAGCCATCCCAGGAATTCTGGGAGTTGAAGTCAGCACCTCTTAAACTTGCCAAGGTTGAGAAACACTGAACTATGCAGTGCCTCTTTCATCTGAATAGATGAAGAAAAACGGGAATTATTTCCATTCTCAGTCATATCATATCAAGACCTGGAAGCTGATTTTTTCTTCTTCGTGGGTATCAGGAATAGGCACCTACCTGCCCTCCACCTGGCCCATGAAAAACCTTTTAAAAATCTCTTCGTTCTTTAACCCAGGAGAATATGTACCGTATTTGCTCTGTACTCTTACTTGGTGTGAAACGTCTCTGTGCTACGTATTTCTGCCTTTCCAATCTCCCATTATGTTCAGCATAGAGCATGTGTAATAATAAGCATCAGTTTTTCAAGGGTGATTTGAGTTCTTCTAAAGATATTCCCTTCTTCCAGCAGCATTCTGCCTTTTGTTTTTTGAGAGTTTATATCTACTTTTTCTGTAGGTTTTCCTACAGATAAATACCATTTCTTAAATGTGGTTATCAATGCTCAAAAAACATTTCATCAAAATTCAACCCATTGAAAAGATGCATTCACCATGTGTATTACCTCCAAAATAGCTTAATTTCCTCATTTTGCAGTTGTGACATAAAGAGAATGTAAACATTCATGATTTTGCCTTATGGAGATAATCATCTTCTGTTTCGTGGTTTTATTGTTGCACTAAATGGGTGGTGGAGATAAAAGAAGCAATTATCAATTCGTGGAGGAATAAAGATGTCTGCTTCAGGTAGCTTGACCATTTGGAAGAGCTGGAATGGAAATGAAACAGTGAAGGAATGGACTTACTAAGTACTCATACTATTAAAGAAGTACCTCTTTCTGTGAAAGGGTCTAAATGCAACTTTTGTCCTTGGATGTTCTCATGTTTAGCTTTGATATCCATTCTTAGATATCACAGCAACATGAATGATGCTTTGGAATTGGACATTTGTGATTGAGATGTTGAAAGACATTCTTCCCCGTTCCTGAAGAGGGCTTTGATTTGGCTGGAATGTAATAAAAGAGACATGCTACCATGGCTCCTTACCTGAATTTGCCTGGACTACAAAGAGCTATGTTTGTAGAGCAGCTGTAATCACCAAAACACTGTACAACATAAGGGCAGCTTTCTCTGTGTACATCTATCATCACACAAACTTGCTTCAAATCTGCCTTTTCCATGGGGATTTGTACAGGAAAGGATAATAACTATTAGCTTGCATTGCACAGGATGAATTCTTCCGTTCACAATACTACTTCAAGGTCCTAAAAAAACTAGAAGAGTTTTGCTTGTGGAATTCCTTTTTTCTTTCTTTCATTAATGTCAAATTTTGGCTAGAAAATAATGAAGCTGAAAAACAAAGGTTTGTCTGGAATCTTCCTACTGATGAAATTAAAAGCCGAATTCCAAAAATAGTAATATAACTTATCAAATCTCCCTTTGTACTATTATCTGTTGATGGGAAAAAAATGAACATTAAACTCTTAATGTTGCCATGGTCATTAACGATTTATCCCAGTGGGTAAAGAAAGGAGTTTAATATTAAATAGGATTTTTTTACATGTGTAAACAATTTATTAGGTGGAGATAGAACTTCAGAGGTAGGATTTTGCCTGTCATCTGTTGCTGCAATGGGGTGGTGGGATACTTGCAGAAAACTAATCTGTTGCTCTTTCAGCTGTGGTAGGTAGCCAGGTGCAAAGGATAGGACAGCTGTGCCCTTTTTAAAAGAGATCATATAATCAACTGCACTGCAGATTCCTCTTTTACAAAGCTATTACAGAAACAATGTCCGTCCTTCTTCCAATCACCTACGTGGAGAAGATCAGAGATGTTCAACCTTGGTAACTTTAAGACTTATGGACGTCAACTCCCAGAATTGACTGGCTGAGGAATTCTGGGAATTGAAGTCCACAAGTATTAAAGTTGCCAAGCTTGGACATCCTGGAATAGATATTTAAGGTGGCCACAGTTGCTTGTCAGCCTAAAACATATATATACCATACATACTTAGAAAACACTACCTGTGCAGTTTCCTGGAAAAAATCTTTCTAGGCACTGCCTAAAACATAGCTGCTAGGATGCTGCTTTTGAACACATACAATCTAATATCGAAGTATTTCATGGAAAGAAATTCTCATTGATTAAAGGTAAAAGGCAGCAGCCATATTTTTTTTAAAAAAAGTAGAAATTAAGGCTTCTTTCAAGACAAGAAGAGGTACAATCCCTTTCCAAGGTAGGTGCTGCCAAACACCAGAAAGGAAATCCTTGCTCCAATTAGCCAACATCTGGCTAAAAAATGCTGGAAAGCTTTTACAGCTATCACAGCAGGAATATCTTCTCATATTGTTGCAATGCTGGAGAAGCAAAACTTGCTGGAAGCTTCCCTTCTTGACATAAATACAGCATTGGAATTCCATTCTCTGTTCAGTCTAGTAAATTAAGATGCCATAAAGGACTTAAATTCAGAGACTGGCATTTTCTCCCCCTAACACAGTGCACTGGTAATGGAAAATTCTGCAAGCTGCAGGCCAGCACCTTTGAGAAGGATATGTGCTTATGGAATCTCAGAGCTGGTGTTAATCATGAGTCTATTTCATGTCCCTTTTGCTTTTACAGTGGGACAGAATCACCTATTCCTTTCCTGGACAAACCAGAAACAGGGGACACTGGGGATAGAACCACAGAAATTGGTGCTAACCCTTCCCTTAGTAGAGGTGCACTTTATGATGCCCACTGTCATTGGCTGATTACACAAAGAGAAGCGCCAATGTTGTTCTGGTTACAAAACTCTTACAACACTAAATAATATTGTATATTTACCAATATTCAGGGAAGAGAAGAGGACTTTTTGAAATATAGGAAATAAAACCAAGGATCATTGCTCTTTCCTTCCAAACTTTCCCTTGAGGATACAAGAAAATACTATGTGGGAATTCTCCCCACATATTTCCCAGGTCCTTCCCATAAACATGAAGAAACCCAAATCAGAATCAATAGTCTGGAACTTAAAAGCATCTTTCTTTTAGATCAAATGTACTGTGTAACAGTAATATCATTAATAATGACTCTAATAAATAGATACAGGGAAGAGGGGAAAGCATTAAACATACAAAGATGGAAAGGTAGGGCTGGCACACAGATTTACCATATACTCATCTGTTCACTTCTTAAAAAGGTACAAAACCAATTTTTCTTTCAAGTATTAAAAAATAAGTTAATGAACATTAAAGGATCTAAAGTGACTACAGGGCCAGGATAGGTCTTCTGCTTCATTTCTGACGTGCAAAAAAAAAAAAAAAAAGGAAAAAATATTCCCCAAAATACAAAGAAACAAAAACCTACTGAACAGCCCACTCTTGGGAAGTTTGAAGTTGTGGAACTATCGGCCATGAGATCCCTCAAAAATGCTTCAGAATGAACCCATCTTTTGATAATTAGCACTTTCCAGTGTCTAAATGGTTATCAAGTTCACAACAGAGCAGTCCAAAATCAACAGGAAACAGCTTCTTTCAGTCCGGAGCACTTCATGGCCAAGAGGAAAAAGTTTGCATGCTGGTTCTGCTTGGAACAATGGCAACTTGTGGATTGCAGAGAAGGAAAAAAAAAAAAGTCGGCCTCTGTCCCTGTCTTTGTAGAAATCCCAAGAAACCATGTTTCAAGTTCTTAGTGTTCCAAGTCTCCCAACAACATCCAGATGTGGATGTTCCTCCATACCTAGACCACAGTGGCAGCTTTGGATTTCTTTGGTGAGAAGAGCATCTACACAGTGTGCTTTGTGAGTGGTTTGCTCTTCCAAAGGCTGCTACAAGGTGATCTTTCAGACGATATTAGACACCCCCTTCCTTTGTTATTTAAGCGAACAAATCCATTAATATCACAGGTTGGGTAAATATGAAAAGAACAGGTTATGGCCCACCTAAATTGGTTAAAGTTCTTTTTAAAAAAAAACATCACACAAAATATTTTCATTTTTAGTCTCTCTCAGAGATCACACACAAAAAAAGACTTATTGACCTCTTGCACAGGTCCTCAAGGAAGGCACGCAATCTCAGATCACGACTTCGTTCTTGGCTCTGTAGCCTCACACCGGACTCCTTACAAGCAACCCGCTTAGCAAGAAGCTCCTGACTCTAGCACTTGGCTGCTGCAAGATTCCTGAAGCAGTTCCTGCTCCACGTTGTCTCCTCTAACCAGGCAGCTCCATCTAACTTGGCATATGCCAAATGGACAATGCAGACCAGCAACCAGGCATGGTGATACCCTCAGGACCAGTTCAAGTTGAAGCCTTTGGACAGCATAACAGCTTCTAGATCCTTGTCTTCCTCCTTCTCTCGAAGGCGCTGCTCTTCAAGGAGGGCCACAAGAGAATCTCTCTGTTCCACCACCTCTAACATTTCATTCAAGATCCTCTTCTCCTCTGAGAGTTCTTCATCTGTCTTTAGCTGATCTGGATAGAGGGAGAATAGCAAACCTGTCAAGACAAGAGGTCCTAAAGATTTGGGACATCTTGTTTCTACTGAGAACGAGAAAATCCCCACCAGGCTTACCTTCCACTGCCATCCTCTCTCGAAGCTCTTGCTGTAGCCGGCTCTGCCTGTCCTCTAGTTCCAACTCACGTGCACTGAAAAGAAAAGCAGAGAATAGTTAATTATGGGTCATTTCAGCAGGAACCTCACCTATGAACATCAACTTGAGGATGCTCACGAAATGACATATTCCAATATTTTCTCTCTTTTTTAAGGATTAATAGTCAAGCAAGCTTTCAACAATAGTGACAACCTTCAGTTTTAACCCCTGTGCTATTTTTGTGGCATAACATTATTTCCAGGATCAAAGAAACTTCACGAATACATGAACTCAATAATCTTTAACTAAATCAAAGGTTCAATTCCCTTCTATAGATTACAAAGGAGGATTTGAGCGAAGCCATTCTCTAATCTAAGGTGATGAGGCAAACACACAGGTGGGACATTTCAACATCAGAACTTGTGTACTTTTTCTGATGTACATTGGTAGAAGAAAAGGATACTAAGATAGTGCACCCGGTGAAAATTCTAGGTGGGGAATTCTAGTTTTATGTATTACATGTGAACCATAGTCTAGAAAGAGAAAATAAACACAGCAAAGAAGAAAGAAATCTATGACGGAATTTGCCAACTGTGCTGAATATAACTTTATTAACAAGAAGGGCATTCCAAATCATGATTTCTCTACAACCCAAACAATCTATACTGTCATATCAATCGGTTGTAAAGTTATTCCGGTTAATGATCAGCAGTTTTGAACAATCGGAATTTTGTATGGGTGTATTGCAGGAATCACAGTCTAGAACTGCTGGACCCCTTGACAAAATTGGAAGCTGTCTATCATGGAGTCAGAGAGTCATCTAACACAGTACTATCTATTCTGGCTTTTTCATTCACCTTTCATTCGTTACATTCATCTTTTCATGTTTCATTCATTCAAATCTTTTCATTCATCTTTAAAGCAATTTTCTGCTTTTTCTTATCATGAATATCAGAAAGCAATACATGGCCATATTGGTGCTACCACATATTTGTTACTTTTCTATGCTGGGGTGCAAAATATAGAATGCTTACTCACAATATCATGAGTTCCGATTCATACCGCACCAGGGCATTCTTTTCCTGCACCAGCTTGAACCACTCTTGCATCAGCTTAGGGTCATCTTTCTTCCCCATGCCTGCCAAGAGAAATGTTTGAGTCAGCTTTCAGACACACGCTGTGCCATTTTCACAAACTCAACAGTCAGGCAGGGACAAAAATGGAAGGGGGCAAAATGTGCAAAGAAAGCTGAGCGAGATGCTGCCAGAGCGCTCCCATCTGTTTGTTAGTTTGCCTCTAATACACATAAAGTTAAAACAAAAAAAACCCCAAACCCTCTCTGGATCTATGCATTCATTTAGCTCAGGGGTAGTCAACCTTGGCTCTTTTATGACTCGTGGACTTCAACTCCCAGAATTCCTGAGCCAGTTGAAGTCCACGAGTCATAAAAGAGCCAAGGTTGACTACCCCTGATCTAGCTTCTTCCCTAGATGGTAGGCCTCCCACCCTCAGAATAAATAGTCAAAATGGCAATGCTCCGTTCGGTACTGTGTTATATTTCTTAATTGTGTAATTTCAGACCTTCAAGCAGCCTAGCTTTAAATAATGGATATTAGATGATCTAGATGCTCAAAAGCATGCGAATCCCTCACCCATTCTCATAACTCAGAGGTCAACTTGACACATAGCTACAGAGTGATTAACAGACAGATCACTGTACAAATTCAGCGCACTTCTTTGTGTTACAGCTAATTTAGGACATCTTTGTTGACATGGCCTGTACATTATATTAATGACTAAAAGCAATCACTTCCTGATTTCTATCACAATAATTTCTAAATGTATTTTCTAGTAGCAGATCCAACAGCAATCTCTGAGGGCAGGTTAAATGGGACATTACGTTTCTGCAAATTAATTGCGTCCGCAATCAATGTACAATATACAATGGCAGTTCATTTCAGACTATACCAATTCAAATACAAACAATGTGCTTCTTAGGTGATTCTGATTATGAAGGACTTGCCTCTGTTAGCTAAATTGACCTAGAAACAGTTTAGAAAACTGGCAAATGGAGAGACCATCAACAAATGTTTCCCAAACTCTCATATATCCAAAAGATAAGCTTTTTCTCTTCAGGTGAATGTGTCCTGAACTGACACAAACCAATTGTTTTGGAACTGCCATTTCTAAAATTCACAGACAGTAAAATGAAAATATCATCCACAACTATATTAAAAGGTGTTTTGTATATTTAAAAATGCAGGGCCTTCAACAGCGTACAATTACATTTAAAGGCCAAGAAGAAATACTGGAAGTGAAATAATCAACTAACAAGGTAGATCCCGATTCCTAACCGAAGAGTGTTTCCCCAGAATTTCATCAATAGTGTAAAATTGCAGAAGTCATAATAAATTTGGATTCTATGCGCAGTTTTCTAATTCCATTTGAATGGAACAGTTTTTCACTGTATGATTATATCATTAGTCACATTATGCAGCAGCTGGTTTATATAACAAACCGTATTTCTAGCATCTGCTGAGAAAACCCAATAGTCCCTAAAACTAGACACTATTTCAGGTATCTCACTATTACTTGAAATTCATTGATACGTGACACCTTGAACTGAAGGTATGATCCACTGGTTCTTGGTAGTATCCTTACTTCCAGTGGACTGGCATCCTGTGCTTTTTTCTCCTTCAAACCACTAAAACATCTGTGGAATTAGGAGAACAGAAACCATATGAACCTTTCATCCAATGCATTACGGTTTTCGGGTTGTAAGTGGCAATATCTGTCCATTGCTCAGTCCAAGCATGCTTTTCTGAGCATCTCTGCACAAGTGCCCTTATAGCCATGATGAAAGGAAAGAGAGAAAGAAAGGCTTATACATGCAAATGGCCAGAATGGTGGAGCCATGAATAGCGTTGGAAATCCTCCCCACTCTTTCCACTGAGAGGATACATCAAAGAAAAATTCCTAAACAAAATAGCCAAATATGTGTTATTGCTGACCTATATTTGACTTTTATTTGACTTATTTTGTAAAAGCCAATGAGCAGAAGGAGAAGGTGGAGGTGGGGAAGAAGCATGTACAGTGGATGAAAGCCCACCATGAAAAGCAGATACAGTGGTTAGCATAAGTTGCACACAACAGTCACATTCCACCCCTTTGCCACATGCCTTGGGAAATGGAAACTCTACAATGGATATTGGGTCCATATGAGATAAAGTCTAGAAAATGTTTAGCAAGATATGGACTTCAGGAAATCAAACTAGATCACACAAGTCAGGAGGTTGACCATTCAAATTTGAGGAAAATCAAGGAAAATCAGTTGCAAAAAACCAAACCAACCAAACTACAGTATTTCTTTTTCCCATTAATTTTATAAGGATTTTGGTTTCTCCTGTACTTTCCAAAAACCTCTTTGGGATATCTAGCATGCCAAACAGGAACTTTGCTTTGTTGCACTATTATCACCCCAGAAAAAGAGCTTCAGTAGCCTGTAGTATTATAGTTACCGTCACAGTTCACATCTAAAAAAGGAATATTGTAATTTTACAATATTATCAGGGACATTTTGCAACACGTTTGATAGTGAGGGTATCACCGAGTAAGAAGGAAAGAAAGGAGAAGTTTTGTGAAGTACTTAAAGTGTCACATATTGACCAGTGTCCCTACACAAATTCAACTGCAGTTTGGAACGTGGATGGAGGGAATGCAAGAAATTACGTTACCTTCATGGGCACAGCAAGGACAGAAGGAGAGAGGTCTACGGCGTGGTGTCCCGGCATTGGGCTCAACTTCAATAGGACCAAAAATGGGAGAGGAAGAAGGGACGGGAAGAGGATATCGGAAGTGGAGAGAAAAAGGAGGAGAAACAGGGTGAAAATAAACAGACAAGCAAAAGGACAAAAAAAAGCACAAGAGTGAGAAAGGAAGGAAGCAACAAGAAGAAAATAGGAAAGAAAAAATAATTCAAGAACTGGGGAAGCAGAAACAAGGAGAACAGTCTACAAATGAAACATCCTTTGTCAACACTGAGGGAGGAGAACAGACTGGGGCATTGGAAAGGAAAACAGCAAGAGCCACCAACATTACCAGGATGAAGAAAAATTGCCAAGATTTGACATGTTTTGTGCATGTAGATTTTTCACGCAATATTACACTCTACGGATATTAAGAGAAGGTAATACTAAGAGGATGGCGAGCAATATTAAGTTTCTAAGAAAGCAGGGTTAGAAAATCTTTTATCTACGAAAGGCCACTTTTACAGTTGGCTTTGTGTTGGGAGGAGGCTCCTCCACAAAAATGGGCCCATGATAGAAAATGTTTAAAGTTTAGGAAACAAACGCATATAAAGAAGGACCAACTACCCAACATTTTCTAAAGCAGAAGGACCAGGATTATGTATCACTTATGTTAAATATGTTGGGGTTAGAGCCAAAAAACTCTCCTTCTGCCAGAGATATCTATAATCACAGAAAAGGATTTTTGGCTACAACTTGTTAACCAATAATATGCTTAGACTGGATCTGCATTAGCTTCAGCCAATACATTTTGTTCTTAGCACATATACACTTGAATCTTTCTAAGTTCCATATTATTATAAATTGAACCATGTTTATTACTAAGCACAGATACTTCCCCTTTTTTAATTTCATGTGAAACATAAGTAAGTTAAGGCCCCAAGTAGAACTCCATCAGATATTATTTTAGACTTTAGGGCTTCAAAAAAAAAGAGAATGCAGAAAATTATGGAATATATTCCATTGATGTGTAATGTATTTGTAAAGGAAATATTTGCATGGAACCAGGACCAGTAAACAAACATTCCTATACTTCTGAGAGAGGCAGAGAGTTCCTCCCTCTGAAGAGACAGGAGGAGGCATATTTCTCACTGTTAAATACTCTGAATCAACTGTAGATCCCAGCTGTTGTTTAGACAACAATTCCAATCATTTCCAATATAGCTATGTTGACTAGAAAGGTCCACCCAACATCATGAAGAATTCAAGATATACTCTAAATCAGTGGTGTTTACTAGGTATGGCAGGCCCAGAACAATAATGCAGGTGGGAGGACCAATAGGAGCAACTACATGAGTTTATATGTAAAGAGACAAAGGATTCTTGTAGAAAGATTTGTAATTTAAGGATTACAGCAGATGAACTGTAATGAAACCACGGTGAAATGAGGAAGAACTACCACATTCCTTTCAAAGCATTCAGTAGAAGCCAGAGTTACATGTACTCAAAATGGAAGAGTAAGAGTCATGTTTTCCATTTTGAAGAACTACACAATTTGGGAAGGGAAGGTCTTTTAGAAGGGACCATCACAGAACTAGAACAGAAACACACAGGACGGATCAAAATTAAAGAAAGAAACACCAGTCTGCAAACAGGGTGGTATAAACCAATTTTCATAGACAGAAGAAACATTTATATTGAGTATGGAAAAGTTTAATCAGAGGAAAGGAGGGTACAGTACTGTAGCTACATAAATATTTTACAAAATATATATTTTCTGAACTTAATCATATTTGAAGAAATTCTACTGCTGGTATCTATAGTATATCAAGAGATATATAATTATAAAATAACTAGCTCAAATGTCCCCAAAGTGTTTTTTGACGAAATCAGACACGGAGATGCATGTTGACAGGAACAATCTATTATTTAAATAACAAAATAAACTTGGAAGAATAAATTTTAATTTGGATTTCTCTCTCAAGATCTTGGATTGGGTATCTATTTCAAGCTATTGGAATTTTACAGCTCTAACTGATTAGGTTTGCATCAACAAAGCAGCATGGGAATGTTCTCTTGAGCCCCCACAGCCTCTAAATTGACAGATAGCAACAATAACAAAGAAAATGTTTGCACAATAACACTCACTGTACCAACCATGACTATTTCTGAACTAGCAACAGTCACCTGTGCACGAGGACATCGTACATAGACTACTGCAAAGTGTTTCCTATGTAACTTAATTCTCAAAAAGTATATATAAAATGCAACATCTAGGTTGCCAACTGGTATACAACACATATCAAAGATCTCAAAGAGTCCCAGACAACTCCCTATCCAATCCAACAGCGAAGTCTCCCCCAACCCTAAAAAGATCCCTTCTATCAAATAC